ATGAAATATAAAACTTTTCTTCACAAACTTTTCCCAAAAGATTCTTGGATCTCAAGTTATGAATTTGTGAATATAGGTCCATGAACTTCTTAACTTAGTGAAATTTTGCCCTAATTTTGGCAGGTTTTGGACCCAACTTCATAGACATTTTTCACCCAGTTCCAAGAGGTATCTCAAATTTCATTTCAAATATGGATTATAGAGAACATTGCAAGCTTTCCAAAATGTCCAAGAACTCTCCAAGATCATTTTTGAGTAGGGAGAATCGAAGAAGGGAAGTTGGCATTTTCTCACTTTTGTTCAAGCCATTTTCACATAGCATCAAGTTGCAAATCAAATCTATGCTGGTTGTATCTTGCTTTAAAGGTAATAAGCTTGCTATACACTCCATAATTAAATGCAAACTCAGTTGACAAAGGCTTTATCTTTGCTTTTGAAGCTTTACACAAGGTGTATTTCCATTTTTGGCCAAAAGGTTACAATGCCATTTTCATAAAGGGCAACTTTTTCAACTTTGTCAATCTTGAGCATTGAACTTGTCCCTTTGGTACAAGCAATTTCTATAGGTCTCAAGCAATGTGTACCAAATCTTATCAGCCCTCAAGCAAGCCAGGACAAGCATGTAGCATTGGTCTTGTCAACTTTACTTCAAATGCAAGAAAAGTTGCAAAAGGTGCTAGAGCTTGCACAGCTAGTAAGGGCTGACTTTGTATCACTTCTCTACATATTTGCAAACTTGTTACAAGGCATGGCATGATTTTCTTGAACCAGAAACACTCTAAAACTCAAAAACACCAAATTTCTTCCTAAACACTCAGATTCTGCAAAAGCACAGCCAACTCTTATTTGGCTCGTGCGTTTTGTGATTAAACACTTCAAGCATCTCATAAACATCATACCAAAGCAATCCAAGCCATCACCCTGGTTCTGTAACCCCTGTTTCAGCATCCACCATTTTCACTTTGGAAGCTTGCAGCTTGACTTATCCAGAGAGTTCCAGTCATCCTCAAAGCAAGATAAGCATTGGAATAGCTTCCGGGAAGTTCAAGGAAGCTCAAACAATCATCAGGCCTCCATTAAAGTCCCTACATTGCCCTACTCGAATCCAGCTGAAAGAGGTATTTTTCAAACTCTATATCTCTGAATAGGCATCCTCAAGCCACGATTTGTGAACGAAAAATGTAGCCCTTTTCATGACAAAGTTGTACATATCATTACTTTTCATTTATATTACTTGTGCTAAGAGAATTTGAAGATTAAAAATGCTGAAAAAGTTAGGTCACGAATTAGGGGTTCCAAAATTCTCCTTGATCTTTTAGAGTTTGGTTACATAATTTATATGGTTGGAATCGTGAGCTCAAATGCCACATGTTTCATGTTATGAGTTTTTGTTTTTATGCAAGCATGAGCAAGTTGCAGGTTCGAACAAAAACGCGCGCAGAAGCTGGCCAGAGGACAGGGATGATGTTCTGAGCTTTTTGGCGCCTTGGGCTTTTTGCTTTTTCTAATCACACCCCCTGACTTGTTATTTGCACCCCTGGCTGATTTTTATATTCTTCATATTCATTTTTATATTTTTATATTTATATGCTTTTGATTATTTTTTCTGAATAATAAAAAATCCTAAAAATAATTTCTTTATTTTTACAATTTTATTTTATTATTTTATTATTTTTTTTACATAAAAATTAATGTATTTGAATAGGATAGAACTTATTTTCTTAAATAATTTGTAAATACAATAAAAATACTTAATATTTTTATTATACCATTTATACTCATAAATACTTATTTTCTACATACATTTAATTTTTAATATTTAGGTATAATATTATTTATTATTTTCTTATACAAAAAATGTACAAAATAATAATTTGAAACATTTATTTTCTTTTATTTGAAAATTAGGGTTTCACCCCTTTTAAAAAAGAATTAATATATTTCTTTTCCTTATAATTTTTAGGGTTTAAATTAAATATATTTTTTACACAAAAATAAGACATAAAAACATTTTTTAACATAAACATTGCATTGCATTTTAAATATTTGTCTTATATTTATTTAATTCGCGCAATATTCGATTTGGTTGTAATAATATATTTAGGTTTACATTTGTGCAAAATCTCCATTCAAACTTGTATCCCCCCTCCCATAAATAATTGTTGTAATAGTTTAGTTTATTTTACGCAATTTATCGCTTTTATACCATGATTAGTTAATTAGGGTTTGCATGACAAGAACAAAAACAAAACAAATAGAAAATCCTAAATACAAGACAAAAGCATGAAAATGATACACTTTGCACACAAAGCACCCTTAGGGTTTCTCCCACTTGGTTGCCTAAAATAAAATGTCCATGTTACGCATGCGAAGTATCTTAGCAAAATAATACAATTATAAGATCATAGTCCCTCGATGACACTATAGAAAGGTTGCCTAAACAAAATGATTTTGGTCCCTAAAAATGCTAAGAAACTTGGCAATATTGCTATCATGGTTATACGATGATCCACGCCCGTCCCGTTAACATCCAAAGATAGGTTTGCTTACCAAATCAATGGTAAGTCAACAATGTCAAAGGAATAAAAAATGCACAAGAAAGACATTTGAGTAGGTAGATAACTTCTAAGTTACTTGCTCCATTTCAAAACAATCTTTGCTATTTTCAAAAACAAACACACACACATTTCAAAACATCTTACAAAACATTGAAAATATTTTCAAAAATACAAACATCTTTGTATACATTCTTACGAACGAGAATCATTACAAAGGTTGCCTAAAAAATGGCCTCTTTTACAAAATACTTTCAAAATCACACCAAACACCATTTCAAACAAAACAAAGCAAGTGATCTAAACAAGTAAATAAGAGACCATGGAAAACCATGGATGAAAAGGGTGCTAGCACCTTCCCTTTTCATAATCTACCCCCCGAACTCAAGAAAACATCTCAAAGGTCTTTCCTGTTCTTTTTTACCTTTCCTTTTGGATAAAAGAAAAGCCGGTGGTAACTCTTGCTAACCGCAACATTTGCAAACACAAACGCAAAACCTCAAGTCAGTTCTCCCACCGCATCACATGAGAGATCAGATTCTATTGGGTAAATGAACATTATATCCAGTTTGGATCCCTGAACATGTCATTGGATGTTAGTCACCGACGATTTCTCGTGCGATTGTAATCAGATTGGTTATAATGGATTAAGTCCTTGAGTTCAAGTAGAAATCACCTTAGTAGGGTGGACTGGACTAGCTTGGGGATTTCTCAAGTGAACCAGGATATATCATGTGTTCTTTACTTTTACTTATGCTTTAGAGTTTATGTTTTCTTAACTTAATTAGAAGCATTACTTAGAAGTAACACTCAAAAGCATTGTTCAACGAATAATGCTTAGAAGCGAAATTTATTCAAGAAAGGAAAACCCAATTCAAACCCCTATTTCTTGCCTTTTGTTTACACCTTCATCTTGGACCATGTGAATTTTAATCACAAGTTTCATTAACATCATTAGATCTTGGGTGTTAAGTTAAACTACACCAAAATTTATGAATGATTTTAATGATAGCTTAGTTAATTCTTTGGTTAAAATATGGGATTTAACTTTTGTCTATCTCTACTTCATTCCCTTTTCCCTCTTCATCTCATCCCCTTCTTATTTCCTTTTTAAGTGATCATTAGTGGCCCAAGCTTTATGCTTGAAATTGTCCAAGTATGATTGATTATTGAACCATAGTTCAAGACCTATGAAGCTTGTTGTTAGGAGGCTTTGATTTTATCAATCCTCTAACAAGTCTTCATCAACTTTGACCTAAGTTCAACCTTCAATCATCATTAATCATTTATTATGGAATTCATATCTTCTTCATCTCATTTCTTCTTCATTTTTGTTTTTACTTGTGCTACATGTTTTAGGAGTTTGGTTTCTACCATGTCTCTAACATGTATGGTACATATATTGCTATTGATCAGCCTCAAAATAGGTGTGACTTATATATAAGTCCACTTACGATTGCTTAACATAGCGCTAAATTTTTCTCGATTCGGAAAATGATCATTCGTAGCCCAAACTTTATGTTTGTAAGACCAAGTATGGTTGGTTGGTCATATTTAGTCCAATACACTACAACATTTGCTGTCTCTGGCAACACTTTTTTAGGTAACATGTAGAAATTGTTGCCTTAAATTCATGTAGGCAACGATTTACGATTGTTGTCAAAAATATGTTTGCAACCCTTGATAATCGTTGCCTAAAATACTTTTGGGGACGTTTATGGAGCGATACTCTTTTATTTTTTTGCCAACGATTGTTAATTGTGCCCTTAACTGCTTTTGGGGACGATTTTAGAGCGTTAAAATATTATTTCTTTAGCAATGTTTGACAATTGTCCCCTAAAATATTTTTGGGGACATTTTTAGATTGTTACATTAGTTCTAATAAAAGGCTACATTTATGAAATGTTGTATAAATTTTTTTAGCATTATCAAATTTTTGGTGGCAATCTTCCCTCCAAAACTTATACACTAAAAAACAAATATTTTTCTCTAAACATTATTAATATATATATATATATATATATATATATATATATATATATATATATATATATATATATATATATATATATATATATATATATATATATATATATATATATATATATATATATATATATATATATATATATATATATATATATATATATATATATATATATATTAAAAAAAATTTAACACATAATTATAAAATAATATTTAATTATAAGCATGTATTTATCCACATGGACTTAATAAAAAACACAAAATTATAAAATCTTATTACATGTTGTATCCACACTTAACAAAAAAATTAATTTAAATAAGCATACTTTTGTAAACTTTATTACATGCTTTGTTTTCATATTATTTTATTTAATTAATATTTTACATATATAGGTTGTGACATTCATTGAATGCAACAACTTGAAATTGAATAACCTAAAGTTCAAAAATGCACAACAAATGCATATAAGGGTTCAGAATTGCAACAATATTTGGGCTTCAAATCTTATCATTAGAGCACCAGGAGATAGCCCTAACACTGATGGATTTCATGTCACTCACTCACAAAATGTTTTCATAACCAACAGCATCATTGGGACAGGTAAAAAAAAATATTTTTACCTATGTTCAATCTAATAATATTAATTTTTTATATTTTTTATAAAATATATTTAGATAATAAAGTTATATTTCTGATTTAGACTATCTGATTTACGTATTAAATTAAATACATTAAATTTTGTTGATTCAAATATCTCTTATAAAAAGGAGATAATATTAATTATAATATTAGTATTTAAAATATATTATATTATAAAATTAATTTTTTTTAAATATAAAATTATCTAATTTTCTTTCTCACTATTTTATTGAAGGTGATGATTGTATTTCAATAGTAAGTGGGTCCAAAAACATTAGAGCTACAGATATAATATGTGGACCAGGACATGGAATAAGGTTCATAATTCTCTTAATTAATTTTTTTCTAATTTAATTTTATATTGAATGGTTAAAAATGTTGATGTATTATTATTACTTTTTTGTTTTTTATTTTTTATTTTGTAGCATTGGAAGCTTAGGACAAGATAAGTCTGAAGCTCAAGTGAATAGAGCTACACTAAAAGGAAGCACTAATGGGGTTAGAATTAAGACTTGGCGGGTAAATTAATTAACCACTTTTCAACTTTGAAATGGTTTAATACAATAAATTAAGGGTCATTTTTAAAATATAAAAGTATAAAATGTGGAATTAAAGTTACCCACTTAGTTTAATTTTTATTGGCCCAATTTAGGTGTATTAGCACTTTATATTGGGAAGATGACCAATTGATAAATGAAGCAATATTGCACTAACTAGAAATAAGAAAAACAACAGAAAAGGAAAACAAAAGCGTTCCATCTTCTTCTTCACACATTCCGCCGCCGAATACCGCTCTCAGACGCTCCAAGTCCAAGTCCTTCATCCGCTCCGACTCAAACCACTTTCGTCCACACCCTCCACTGTGTTGTTCGTCACTCCGTCCAACTGCCTTCGTTCGTCGTCCGCTCGATTCCAAAAACCCCACCCTAGATGTACCGTACCACATCCCACCGCTGTAAACTTATATACATCGCCATTTCTGATCCGCAACAACGCTCAACACCTTCAGTAGCAACATAACAACACGACGTGCTCAAAATTGCATTATTGGTAACTTCTCTTCATTTTATTTAAATACAGTTTATAGTTGTTGGTTTATGTTGGTGAGAAGGTTCAATGAATGGATGTTAATTTGCTATTGATTATGTTTTTTCTGACGTGGGTGTATGTTGGTGTGTTTGTATGTATTTCTGCATTTATAATTCGATCGCCATTTCGTATCGTTGTGTTTGAGTTGAGTTTGAGTGTTTTGATGGTTGTTTGAGTTTGTGTGGGCATTTTCATATTTGTTGTTGATATAAGAAGTTGACTACAGAGTGGGGTTCTAACTACTTTAAATCAAACAAATGCTGATAGAGAGTGCTAACTATTTTTTTCTAGTAGTAAAGAATTAATTACATAGTGATTATCAATAATAATTTAATACAGGCCATTGTAATTTCATATTCTAGCGTTTGGTTCTGAGTGGTTAACAAATATATTTTTATTTGTTTTTTGTATTTTCTGTTAAAAGTAAGTGCAAAATGTTCAATCTTGTAGTTTGTATTGTTGCTCTATGTTTGTTCAGTTAAAAGTTGTGTGCATGCACTATAGAATTCGGTTAAGTTTTCTTAACCAATTAATTTTTATTTGTTTTTCTGTTTTTTTTTTTGTTTAAAAATAAGATCAAAATGATGAATCGTGTAGTTTTTATTATTGCTACACATTTTTTCCATTGAAAGTTGAGTTTGTACACTATCACATTTGGTTCTGAGTGGTTAATCAATATATTTTTATTAGTTTTTTGTTTTCTCTGTCAAAAGTTAGTGCAAAATGTTGAAACTTGTAGTTTGTATTGTTGCTCTGCATTTGTTCCGTTAAAATTTGTGTGCGTACACTATAGCTTTTGGTTTTGTTTTGTTAACCAATTTATTTTTATTTGTTTTTTCTGTTAAAAATAAGTGCAAAATGTTGAATCATGTAGTATTTATTGTTGCTCTGCAGTTGTTCCATTGAATGTTTTGTGCAATCATTATAGTGTTTGGTTCTGTTTTCTTATCTATTTTTTTTATTTTCTTTTTTGTTTTTATGTTAAAAATAAGTGCAAAATGATGAGTCGTGTAGTTTGTATTGTATCTCTTCATTTGTTCAAATGAAAGTATTATGCACACAATATAGTGTTTGGTTTTGTTTTGATAACCAATTTACTTTTATTTGTTTTGGTAATTTCTGTTAAAAAGAAGTGCAAAATGTTGAATCATATAGTTTGTATTGTTGCTCTGCATTTGTTTCGTTGAAAGTTATGTGTGTACACTATAGCGTTTGTATCTGTGGTTTTAACTAATATATTTTATTTGTTTTTGTTTTTTCTGTTAAAGATAAGTGAAAAATGTTGAATCGTGTAGTTTGTATTGTTTGTCTACATTTGTTCCGCTGAAAGTTGTGTTCGCAAACTATAGCATTATGTTCTGTTTTGTTAACCAATTTGTTTTTGTTTATTTTAGTTTTTTATGTTAAAAATAAGTACACAATGGTTAATTGTGTAGTTAGTATTGTTATGCTGCATTTGTTCCATTGAAAGTTATTTGCATACACTATAGCGTTTGGTTTCATTTTGTTTTCCAATTTATTGTTATTTGTTTTTCTCTTTTTATGTTAAAAATGAGTGCAAAATGTTGAATCGTGTAGTTTGTATTGTTGCTCTGCATTTGTTGCATTTAAAGTTATATGCGTACACTATAGCGTTTGGTTCTATTTTGTTAACTAAGTTTTTGTTTGTTTTTTGTTTTTTCTGTTAAAAATAAGTGAAAATTGTTGAATTGTGTAGTTTGTTGGGTTCGTTAAAATAAGAATTATAAGATCATTGTTGCTCTATATTTGTTTCGTTGAAAGTTGTGTGTTCGATTCTGTTTTGTTAGCCTATTTTCTTAAATATTTATTACTTTGTATAGTCCACATAATCGATTTTTTTGTTCACTTAATTCCCCTCTTTTCTAAGTTTTAAACATTATATAATTTTGTAAATATTAGTTATTACTGTTAGTTTTTCATTTGATATTTAGATGTCATATAAAACTATAGATGGTTAAAATGGATTGCAGTTTTCTAAGTTTTTAAAAAAGGTGTCTGCTACTGCGTAAATGGTCATACAATAATGTTACTAATTTACACCACGACAACAGTGTCGCAACACACGTACTGAATGAAATTGCAAAATACTTTAAGCGACAACATTAATAGTGATCTCCCAAGAAGTATGAACCACTTATCTCTTACTGTATTTCCTCTTGCAGCATGATATTACTGAACTATGATACCATAAAGTTAATATTGGCCTTAAAAAATTTAAGTCTTAATAGAAATGTTTGTGAGAGCTGGTTGCATGGAGATGTTTTTTGTTTTTGTTTTTAGGCATAGACCTAGCTTTCACTGTTTTAAGAAATGTTATAATTTTATCTCTATTTTTGATTTCTCAATACCTAAGACTTGCCTACACAAACTGTTTTGGATACATCTCTCCAATAAGATATGTGTTTAGCTAACATTTGAAAGTTAGTGCTTCTTAATTATTATTGTCTCTGTGTAATTCTATATGCTTACTTGATTGCTATGTTATTATGTTAGTTATTAAAACTAATACATATGCTAATGTGCTCTACTCATTAGTCGTGTGACTTAATTTTCAATCAAGTTCAACATGAAAAAACCAGGACAAGTTATTGTTATTATTTTAATACACACATTCATGCCTACATAAGTTGATAAAATGTGTCATTTGATTATGTATTGATTATGGTTAGTAAGGATGTATGTTTTACTTGGTTGAAGTTAGACAAAACCTAACAGCAACTTTATGTTCATAATCTTTCTTCAATTTTTGTAGCAACTCTATTAGTTCCTTTCAAATATAAGTATAATGTTATTTTAATTACTTGAGGGTGAGTTAACCATGTGATTATATCAATGTTGTGTGATGTTCAGGTTCTCCTGCGTCTTTCCCCATTCCCGCATTGTAACTCGCATCTGCTCAGTCTAACCAAGTTCGTTATGCCACTTTTGAATCCATCGACATCACCGTCCTTTCTTCTAAAGGTGACGTATTCCATTTCATCTCTTTTACTATTTATTAAATTTGTGTTTAATTTTCTCATTTTCTAATTATTTGTCTTTAGATCATTCACCGTCGTTGTTTCGGTTAAACCTCAATAGATATGTCATTGGTTTCAACATTGTTTGGGAAAGAAACGTCTCAGTTTCATTTACTAGCTTTGTTGTTGTTGTTGCAGTGAAGGAAGTTATGTTGAAATCAAAGTCGCTTTTAACTAAGGACAAGATTTTAGTTTCTATTACTGCTGGAATCAAGTTGAAAGAATTCAGGTAATAGAACCCAGTCATTCCAATGCTTTCTGCACTTTAGATTAGTTTGAAAAGAAACAACAAATACATATTATATTAGACTATGAAATGTTTGTTCATAATTAGAATATAAATTAATTGTTCTTGTTTTTAAATCTTAACACACACCCCTCATGCAATAGCCATGTGTTTTCCTACTCATGTTTATGCTAAAACTTCTCATCATTTTATCATAAGGAATCATACCTTACCCTACTCATGTTTATGCTAAAACTTCTCATCATTTTATCATATGGAATCATACCTTATCAAGTTGTAGTTTGAAAGCAAGTAATATCTCTAATTTCACTTGATAAGATCAAATACTTGTATATATTATTAATTCAAAGTCACAGCTAGTTAGACTTATTGGTAAGGGCAAAACACATGAATCCAAAGAAACATATGTAAAACACATCATCCAATGGATATAGACAAAGACAGCCTTAAACTATCTCTTCCATGAAGTAACATATGTAAAATAGTTTAGCTCATTTATTTTATGTTTGTAATGCATGTTTAGATTAAAAGTTCACCAATTTATTATATGTTTGGTATTGGAATGCATGTTTAGTGTATACTTAGATTATAAATGAAATTTTTATAATAACTATGCATTTGTAAAAGCTACGTTGATATATGAACCATGGTGTTTTTCCATCCTTTATATGATAAAGATTAACGTATAATTTATTTCATTTTAGAAAACCAAACATGATAAAGAAGGATTGGGTGGAGTTACCTCCACACAGTCAAAGTTATAAGGACGGTGTAAATTACTTTTTGGATATTGCATTCACCAAAGGAATGGTTGAAGAAGAAGAGATTTTGTGTCCTTGTTCTATATGTTATTAATGATAGTTGGGAAGTAAGAGATGTAGTGTATGACCATTTATGTAGTAAAGGATTTGTTAAGGGATACACTGAATGGATTTATCATGGTGAAGATGAGAGCCTTATAAATCTTGATGGTGATAGTGATGATGAAACATCATCTCATGATGATATCGATGGCTTACTATTTGAGACATTTAAAGATGTGGCTGAAGGAGGTGGAGTACATGAAGGGATAAATGAAGATGCAAAGAAATTTTATAAACTAGTTGATGATGCAAATCAAGAGTTGTATCCTGGTTATGAAAAGTTTTCCTCGTTATCATTCACTATTCGAATTTATTTGTTGAAATGTATCCATGGATGGAGTAATGCATCATTCACTGCTCTCGTAGAGTTGTTGAAAGAGGCTATGCCAGATTTGAACATCCCTATCTCTTTCAATAAAACAAAATCTATGATAAAAGATTTGGGCTTAGACTATAAAAAGATTGACGCATGTCCGAACAACTGCATGTTGTTTTGGAAAGATCATGGGAAAGATGATTCATGTCATACTTGTGGCACGTCAAGGTGGATTGAATATCCTGAAGTTGCTAATGATCTTGAAGAATCTATAAAAGTTCATAAGGTTCCCGCCAAAGTTCTAAGACATTTCCCATTGATTCCAAGATTGAAAAGACTTTTTATGTGTTCAAAGACAGCCGATACATTGAGGTGGCACGCAGACCATCGTTCAAGGGATGGGAAGTTAAGGCATCCAGCTGATGCCCAAGCATGGAAAGACTTTGATGCCAAGCATTCAGATTTTTCTCGTGAAACTCGTAACATCAGACTTGGGTTGGCAAGTGATGGGTTTAATCCATTTAGGACCATGAGTCTTTCACATAGCACATGGCCTGTTGTATTAACAATATATAACTATCCGCCAAATTTGTGCATGAAGGCTGAAAATTGTTTGATGTTGTTACTTATTCCTGGACCAAAGTCACTCGGAAATGAAATTGATGTGTATTTGCAGCCACTAATTGAGGAGCTTAAGATATTGTGGGAAGTCGGTGTAGAAACATATGATATTTCAAAAAATCAATCATTTCAAATGCGTGCAGCTCTTATGTGGACTGTGAATGACTTCCCTGCATATGCTATGTTATCTGGTTGGAGTACTAAAGGGAAGTTTGCTTGTCCTGCTTGTAATCATAAAACTTCTTCAAGATACTTAAAACATAGTCGAAAGATGTGTTATATGGGTCATCGAGTCTTTTTGGATTCAAATCATAGTTGGAGATCAAATTCAAGTTCTTTTGATGGAAAGCCCGAATATAGGTCTGCACCCTCCTTGTTAGATTCAACAATGATTTTAAAAGACTTAGAAAAGATTTCTGACGTAGTGGGGCAAAAATATCATAAAAAAAGGCCTGGTCCATGGAAGAAAAAGTCTATCTTTTGGCAATTACCATATTAGAAGGATAATTCTTTGCGCCATAATGTAGATATTATGCATACAGAAAAGAACATTTGTGATAATATAATGGGGACTCTCTTAGATATTGAAGGGAAGAAAAAGGATCATGCAAAAGCTCGTTTGGACCTACAACACATGGGGATTAGAAAAAAACTCCATTTGAAGGAAACAAGTGATGGTAAGAAAACTCAAATCCCTAAGGCATGTTTCTCCCTAACAAAGCAAGAGAAAACTATTTTTTGTAATGTTTTAAAGACAGTAAAACTTCCTGATGGCCTTGCATCCAATATTTCTCGATGTGTTCAAGTTAATGAAGGAAAAGTTTCTGGATACAAGAGTCATGATGCTCATATTATATTGCATTACTTGTTGCAAGTAGCAATAAGAGGGATAGGCCCTAATCAAATTGTTATCCCTTTGCTTCAACTTTGTTCATTTTTTCGGTGTTTATGCCAGAAGGTTATAGATGTGAAAACATTGGATTACTTGGAAGTAGAAATTGCTGAAACACTTTGCCAATTCGAGCGTATCTTCCCTCCGAGTTTCTTTGACATAATGGTTCACTTACCAATTCACCTGGAAAATGAAGTCAGATTGGGTGGACCGGTTCAATTTCGATGGATGTATTATATGGAAAGATATTTGGGTGATTTAAAATCTTTTGTTCGTAATAGGAGTCGTCCAGAGGGTTCTATCACTGAAGCATACTTAGTTAAAGAATCTCTAACATTTTATTCAAGATATTTGTCTAGTGCTGTAGACACAAGGATGAATAGAATGACACGAAATAACGATGATACTCCAAACATAGGTCATCCAATCGGGGGAAAGAAACTAATTTCCCTTGATCATAAGTCTCTAAACCAAGCTCACGGCTACATTTTATTCAATTGCGATGAAGTGCAAGAGTATATTAGGTACACTCATCTACTTGATACAAAATTTCATTCTCACTATAAGTTTTCTTTTTCTTTTGTATTAAAATATTAGTTATTTATTTTGTAGAGATCATGAGGTTAATGATCATAATCCTCTAAAAAAAAGGAAGTCCAGAAAAGCTAACAATCAAAGAGAAGATTTTATTCAATGGTTTGAAACACGTCTCATGGATGAGAAAGTTACTGAATGGTTGAAGGTGTTGTCTAGGGGACCAAATGATGTTGTTATAAGGTATTCTGGTTATGTTATTAATGGATACAGGTTTCATACAACAAATCGTGAAGCAAGGCTTAAAACACAAAATAGTGGTGTGACATTAGAAGCGGTGACTCAAGTTCTTAGAAATGTGAAGGATGAAAATCCCAAAAAGATTTGTGTGACTTACTATGGGGCAATAAAAGATATTATAGAGTTAGATTATTATGGTCATATAAAATATGTATTGTTCAAATGTGATTGGTTTGTGGATGAAAAGGATAAATATGGATCGCCGTTGGTTTACTTTAACAAAAAATGCTACAAAAATGATCCATTTGTGTTGGCATCTCAAGTTCAACAATGTTTCTTTATTGAAGATCCTTTAAACAAAAACAAACACTATGTTCTAAATGCACTTCCAAGGGAATCATTTGACATGGGAGAATCTTTAAGTACAGATGCCCAAGAATATGATATTTCAACAAATCTTAATATGTTAAGGGATGATTGTGAAGTGGATTTGGTTAGGAAAGATTTGTCAGATGATATCTTTGAAATTCCTTTGTCATAACTTCACAACCAAAAAGCAATAGAGAGTGATCACAGTGACACGAGTTATGGAAGTGACGATGAAACCGATTATGATTCTAGTACTGATTAGGTAGCACTGACAATGTGTTTTACCATTTTTTTAATAGATTTTGAGTAGAAAATAGATTTGTTCAAAGTTTAATTTATGGTTAAGCATGATGTCATTTTTTTACTTAAACCATAACAAACTAGATTCAAATATACTGTTAATTTATGGTTATGCATAATGTCACTTTATACTCAATTTTTCATTATATAATTATGTAATTTTCCCCTTTGTAGATCATAGTTGTTGGCCATAATGGACAATGTAAGAAGTGTAAAAGATGGTGGATCACATAGGAAGAGTGGTCGAAGTCCTACTAAAAGATTTGATTTTCCTTTTCAAGTAAGATCAAGTGCAGAATTGAGAAATAAAGTGCTACAACATGTTAAGAAAGAAAAAATTGACAAGTTACATGAGATGCTACAAGGAAATAATAGAGAAAAGGTTCAAGAAATTATAGAAGTTGTGGACGGTAAATCATTTTCTTGTTTCATTTGATTTTATATAAAATGATGTATGTTAAAGTTATGTTTTGGAATTCTTTTAGATATATTATTCCTACTGTTTTTTAATGAATTTTTACAAAAATTAGAAACACCAAAAAAAGGAAATCAACAAGAAAGAGTTCAAAAGGTTGATCATAATTTGGACAAAGAGACTATTGCAAAGAAAATGGAGATAGACAAACTCTCGCAACTAAAAGTAATGAAAGATCATGCACATGGTGACAAAGAAGTTGTACAAGGTAAGTGATTTTTAAATTTTTCTATTATGCATATATTACATGAAATTATTCCTAATATCTTTTGGTGAATTTTTACTAAAATTAGAAACACCAAAGAAAAGAACTCAAGTGAAAGCTACAGTGAATAGAGAAAGAATTCAAAAGGTTGATGGAAAATTGGACAACCACATTGCTATGAAGAAAGCAGAGAGACCTAAGCTTTTGCAACCACAAGCTAAGGAAGTTTTTGCACATGGAAACAAAGAAGTTTCACAAGGTAGTTAATATCCCTGCATATACTTTAAATTTATATATTTCTTTTCATGACATTATTATGACGAGAAAATTACATTGAAACCAGGAATGTTGAAAAAAAGAATTCATGAGAATCTACTAGAGAACAATAGAGATAAAATTCAAAAGGTGGAAAAACCAGTTGCAAGGAGAATACTTATTTCTTCCAAAAATAAGAAACCATAGAAATCTACTCTATCTTTGGACACAATGATGTCAAAAGCTGAATGCTCTAAAAAGCTAAACAGGGTGCCAAAATGCCCATCAATGTTGATTGATGATTATGTAGATCTTCACAAGTCAAAGGAAATGGATGCAACCAAGTCAAACAATGGAGAAAAACTGAGCAGCAGCGTTAACCGTAGCTCTAATTAAAATCAGCCAAAAAAAGGAACTCGACAAGAAAGTGTTCAAAATCGGGCAAAAGTCAACGAAGAAGATGCAATCACAAATAGAGAAGAAGAAAAAGGTAATTAGTTTCATATTTCATAATAATGATTTCATGTATTATTGACATATTGGTAGCAAACATGTGATATCATGTTGTTGTGTTGATTACTTTATAGAAACATCCCAAAGAAAAACTCGTGGGAAAACTTTGTGCAAAAAGATTCATGCAAGAACTTTGGAAGAGCGAGTAGAAGTGACCTTTAATGAGGATTTTCAGCCAATTGGTCCTAGTGAAAAAGTAGTATCTGACTTGAGCCTCTTCTTGGGAACATTGGCTAGGAACTCAACATTTTGTCCTCTACGTTACACCAATTGGTCAGGAATGCCAGATGATAATAAAAACCGTTTCTGGAGATATACTAATGTATGTTTTTATCTATGAATTTGAAAGTATAATTATTAAAAAAAAAAGTGTTTTATTTCTTGATCTTGTCTTATCTTATAATTTATGTAGCGGAAGTTTATCTTGCCGGTTGAAGCACGAGATTGGATTGAGACCACTGTTAGAGAGGCATGGAGAAGATATAAGCACAAAATTAAGAAGAATCATTTTTTGAAGTATTCCGACATGACCGAGAGACTCAAAAATCGTCCGCCAAACGTGCCAATAGCCCAGTTTAAGAGTCTTTGTGCTTATTGGAGTAAGGAAACTATACAAGTAAGATTAATAATTTTTTTATGTATGTGTGTGAATTTACACCTTTCTATGTATGCCATAATTAAGTAATATTTATTATAATAATTCTGTCAAATTTAAATGTAGGCAATCAGTGAAAGTAACACTAGAAATAGAGCTCAACTAAAGTGGATGCATCGAATGGGTCCCAAAAACTTTGCTTTGACTCGTGAAAAAGTGGTAACTTTCTTTTGTTCTCAATAAAGTATTCCTTGTATGAATGTTTCTTTGTTCAATTAAAGTATTCGTGAAAAACTTTTCTTTGACTCGTGAATAGGAGGAATTTTAATTCACATGATTTGTTATGGAATTATTTTGATTTGTGCAGCGTCAAAAGGAAAAAAGAGAGCCCACTCAATCAGAAATGTTTGTTGAAACTCGAAAAGGAAATAAAGGAAAGGAAATGAATGTAGAAACTGGAAAAGTAATTATATGTAACATTGTTTATATAATATGTTTGCTTAATATAATCGGCCAACATTGTCTATAATAGTAGTTAATATTTTTTTTTTTTGTAATTTATGCTAGTCCCAACTTCAAGAAATGGTTGAAAAGGAGGAAAGTGATACAGAAGCTTTTAAAGTTGTTTTTGGAAAGGAGTGTCCAGGCAGGGTACGCTGTTATGGGAGAAACATAACTAAAACTTCCTTAAAGAGAAAGGCAGAGATTAATGCTTTGAAACAAGCCCACAGTGAAGAGGTCTCTACATTAAGGGACGAGTTTCAAGATAAGATTGATAGATTGAAAAATGCTTTTAAGACCGTAATACAACAATGCAATCCTCAAATTAATATAGAGTCAATTGAAGATTTGTTAGGATTATCTCATGGAGATGCTAATAGTTCCCCAAAGGATATAAGACCGCAAATGCATTCATCTACATCAACTCATGCTCCATGTCATGGAAAGGTAACCATATATACCAATATTATTGATTTATATTTTTCTAATTATGTTATAGTATCAAAATGGTTGTTAATGTATGCAAAAATTTGCAAGTAGTGACAACACATAGAATAAAGTAAGTGGTTGAAATTGTTTAAGTAGTGACAACACCTAGAAGTGGCTGAAACTGTTTAAGATTTGTTATATGCAAAAGAGAAAAATCTAAATTTTCAACTTTAGACATATAGACTTAAAGTAAAACATTGAGTATTTTTTATGAATATTCCTGGTATGAGAAGATAAGTAAAGTAATATAAAGCCCACCCATGACATGAGATGTGAAGAATATAAACAATGTGTTTTGCTCATTGGTTTAGTTTTTATTTGTGCGAGGTTTAATTCTTGTTGATGTCTTAATTGTCCTTTGGACCAAAAATATTTATGGTTGATGTATTTTATTTTATTTTCTTATGCAGCAATGTATCAATGAAGATGTTGAAAAGGACGATATAAATGATGAAATTCAAGAGTACGACATAAATGATAAAATTCAAGAGGACGGCCTAAATGATAAAATTCAAGAGAACGACATAGATGACGAATTTCAAGAGGACGACATAGATCTAGATGATGAATTTCAAGAGGACGATATAGATGGTGAATTTCAAGAGGACGACGTAGATGAAGAATTTATGGAGGATGACATATCTAACGAATTTCAAGAGGATGATCTGGATGATTTACTCTTAGAAGACAAACTTGAGTGAGTTAGATGATGTCTTTTTTTGGCTTGTAGTTGAAAGCATTATATGATTTTTGTTCTTTTGTTGAACTATGTTTTTAGTTATTTTACTATGGTCATACTTCAAAGTATTAAAAGTAATGTTACGTTAGGCATTTTGTGTACTCTATATATTATATCTTGAATTAAAGTTTGAACTTGATTTTATTATATTATAACTTTTATGGATGTATGGTTTAAGTTATATAATCAATATTATTTTTGAAGCCAATTATTATTGACTATATTATTTTGATAATAATGGCAAAATTGTATATTTTATGTGGACACTATAAAACAATAACCTATAAGCTATGGCTACACTTCAAAAACGACCTTCCTGATTCAGGTTTAAGGCAACGATTGTTAATTGTAGCCGAATTTGGCAACGCTTAAAAAATGTTGTCTCAGAGGCCGCAAATAATAGTCCCCTATTCCTTTTCTATAGGCGATGTTTTTCAAAAGCGTGCCCAAAAAACATTAAAAAAACGTCGCCTCAAACAATAGGCAACGCTCGCACAGGAGACGCCTAGAAAACGTCCCCTATTTGTTTAGGCAACGATTTTCAGAGTTCTGGCAACGCTTTTCAATTGTTGTTGGAGAGGCTAAATGTTGTAGTGATACCTATGAAACTTGTTGTTAGGAGGCTTTGATTTTATCAATCCTCTAATGAGTTATCATTATCCTTGGTCTAAGACTATCATTCAAGCATCGTTGATGATATCTTGTGGCTATTAACAATTAACTTACAAACCATTGACAATTAACTTTACTTTATGCCTTTATCTTTATGTCTTTACCTTTATGCTTTTATTTTTATGCACTTTTATATTTAGCATTTAAATTTCATGCCATTTGCCTTTTTCTCACATGAGCATTTATTTTTATGTCATTGTATCTTTGCTCACTTGAGCTTTTATTTTTCTCCTTAAGACACTTAATAACTAACTTGAACATTAAAAGACTTAAGCCTCTCTTTATGGACTATTGGTTACTATCCTTGGCATATTGAAGTTGTGGACCTCTTGGACTTAGGATTAGAAGTCTTGCCCTGATACTTTGAGACCTTGGGAATTTTGGACCTTGTGTTATTTCATTGTTATTTTTCTTGTATTGGGAAATCTTCTGTGTGCATGTGTTATTCTGTTGGCCATAAGTGATCTATATGGCACATGGCTCAGTATTGAAGACCTTGCTTTGGGTTTTAAAACCTTGGGGTTTCTTTCATACTTATTTTCTTGTGATTTATTTTCACATGGATGATTGGTATGCTCTTGGTCTATTTGGTACTTGTGGCTTTTAATTCAAAGGATTAGAATTCTACATTGACTTCATAATGTCAAGTGTTGACTTCTTATTCGATTAGGCCTTTCCTTACCTTAGCTTTTACTTTGTGTACATAGAATAGTCTTTTCATCTTCTTCAATCTTCTTTAATTTCAAAAATGTTCCCTCTCTTTTTAAAATTATTCTTGTTTTCTAACTTGAACCGCTTTTATAATAAACTTGGACTTAGGTCCATGCATTTTCAAAAACCTTTTTTTCTTAATCAAATTCTAATCAATTTAATCATACTTTGACATCTTTATTTGAAAGACTAAAATTCATTAACCTCATTCAAATTTTTTTGCCACTTTGACTTTTCTCTTTAAAACCTTTTTCATAAAATTAACCAACACTCAAGACTTTTCAAAAAAGTTAGGAGAACTATGAATGACTTGATCCCCTATTGCACGAAAGGTGGTATGTAGGCACAAAAGGTTCTCAACTGCGGCTGGTGCAAAAATTGTAAAAAATACTTCTTTTCTCATCTCCACCATCTATTTTGTAAATATTTCTTCTATAGCCAAAATACAAAGATTTTCAAAGAGGTTCATGTGGAGTACCGTAGATGTTTAGTGTGTTAATACCTTCCCTTTTCATAACCAACCCCTTTACATTGAGCTCTTTCTCTTTGGGTTTATTCACTCTTTTCTCATTTATTTGGATAAAATAAAAGTAAGGTGGCGACTTTCGCTGATTTTGCGAGTTAAGTCAATCCAATGGCTTAATATCAACATTTCTACCGCTACAACACCAAAGGTATTCTTCCAGAGTGTTGAGTTCAGAACCTGATGATTTCACTCTCCTTCTTAACAGAGTCAGAACCTACATGACAAAAGCCACACACTTGTAGCAAAACTATTAGAGTATACAACTGTTCTTAAATATAACATGTAAAGTTATCATCAAAACATAAGGCCAGATGTAGAACAAACTTTATTCACATAGATGTTCTATCATTATAAACCTTATATGATATAATCAAAGAAGACTACCCTAGAAATATACCTTCATCATTCTTTGTATCGAATTTACCAAGATTGTCCTTTCTGTTATTTAAAATAAAGCATTTGCTGAAAATGTAAAATTAGGATATATTATGTTTCCGACCTTGAAGTAGCTCATAGGGTGTCTTCTCTAGGTTTGGTCGAATGACAACCCTATTTAATACATGGCATGAAATATTAACTTCATCCTACCAAAATTACTTAGGCCAAGTCTTTTCACATATCATTGTCCGAGTGAATTCTTCTAAAACACAGTTTTTGCGCTCAACAACTCCATTTTATTGTGGAGTTCTCCGACATGAGAAGTTATGAGTAATCCCATTTTTATTACAAAAGTTTTCAAATTGAATGGTTTAAAGGTCTCTTCTTATTGGCTAATAATATTTTGGACAAGTTTGGTAAATTTAACCAAAGATCTAAATGTCTCTTCCTTATCGGCTAAGAAGAGTGTCCAAGTAAACCTAGAATAGTTGTATACTATAACAAACTCGTAATAGTTACTACTTAAATGTCTTATCCTCGAAGGGCCCAACAAGTATGGATGGAGAAGCTTGAGTGTTTTTAAGTTGAAACATTTTATTTATTTATTTAAAAGATACTCTTGTTTGCTTTCCCATTTTGAAAGCATTACAAAGTATATCCTTAAAAAACATTATTTTTGGTGAACCAACTATTATACTTTTAGATGCTATCTTATTTATTAAGACAAATGTACATGTCCTAAACGTTTGTTTCATATATAAGAATCTTGATTCTTAGTTACCAAACATTTAGTATCATACATTGACACATTATCCATGTCAAGAAAATAGATGTTATCAACTCTAGAACCCTTAAACACAAGACTTTTACTAGCCTTGTATTCAATAAAGAAACTCAAGGTGTCTAAAACAACACAATACCCCTAGTCATATGATTGAATAACACTAAGTAAATTGTGTTTAATCCCTTTAACCGATAAACCACCTACTATGGTAATTGTAGAGAGATTTCCCACAATACATTTTCCTAGTATTTTACCTACCGTATTGTCTCCATAAGTGATGTGACTGCTTTCTTTTTGAACAAACTTCATAAACATCAAAGAGTATCTCATCATGTGTCTTGCAACCCCGTTATCTAGGAAACACAATATTTTTTTGCAGAGACAAGACAAAACTATAGAAAATCAAAAAGGTAATTTAGGTACCTAGCTAGTGGATCCAAGAGGGTTAGTTAAAGAACACTGAATTTTCCAAGCCATTATACCATAAGGAACTTTGACATTTCTAACATGGAAAATAGGCCTAATTGACCTTTATCACTTCAACAATAACATGTTTCTTTAGATGAAATATTCCATTTATCTATTTTAGTAAAGGGATTATTTTTCATAAAAACATTTCCTCTTTCACTTGAAGAAGTAGAAATAATAGTAGATAAAGAAATAGCTTGTTCCAATTGTCCTTTAAGATTTTCATTTTCAAATTTTAGCTTGTTCTTATGTTGGTTGTGAGTTTTGTCATATGCATGTTGTGTGTTTATCTTACATGATTTCAAATCCTAATGCTTGCTTCCATGAAATTGATACCCATTTTAAGAAGAATGATCATGCTTTATTTAGAATTGTTGATTCATATTGCATGTAAATGATTTATGGTGTATTGATGCATCTATAAGTAAACGGAAATATCGAATTAATATAAAAGATTGTCGAAACTAGAGACCAATAGTCAATCCTATCTCTATCTACTATTGCTTTGTAAACCTAAGACTATCAGAAATAATTTTTAGTTTCAAAGGGTATTTAAAAAAAAGAAATAAGAGTAGAGTAGAATTTAGAAAATAGATTAAATAAGAGAGACCAGTATGTGACTCACTATGCACCTCTGGGGCTCAATAATTTATTGGCATATATTAAGTTTAAAAATTACTTTTCAGAAGAAAAAGACCAGTTTAAACACATCCGTCTCACACTCTCGTGATATTGAATCCTGCTGTATTTCGAAACCATAAATGGTGCTCTCGCTCTCCCATTCAAGTTACAAAATACTTTTTGAAAATCTATAAGTCCTAATCAATCCTAAAGCGTTATCACTGTATTTAGGAATTGATGCCCAATTTTACTATCCGGTACAAACCTCATACTTTTGTTTTTATTGGTTTGAAACCTTAATGTTTTTCCTCGTCACAAAAAATCTTTCAAATATTAATATTAAATATTGAACCAGAAAATAACTTTTATGAAAAGAGAAATTACGCCAATTCATTACTGAGTCCCGCCGGAACGATGATCCTCATACACCGGACTCCAAACAACTTAGCCAGACATAATTGGAATCAAACACATATTATTATTACTATTTATGCAAAATAGAAACATGAATATGATAATGGCTATGAATGCAAATAGTAACTATAGCTAGTAATGCAACATATTTGTCTAAAACAATACGTGCAAAATCAATTCAAATACATGTATTTGATACTAGCAAGTGATGATAATGACATGTGAAACTTAGAAACATAAACAATAACAACCATGAACAATTAAAACAATACCAACAATTATTAAGACTAAAAGTAAATAAGTGCGGAAAACTAAAGAAGGTAAATGCTTATGAGAAATAACTGCAGTGTAGGAAAATAAACGCGAAAGAATTGGAACGTAAAAACTT